AGGTATTTGTTTGGGTATTTGTTAAATTTGTATATTCAATTTAGAAAAGTGACTTTATTTTACAATTAGTTCCTTAGCTTGCTCAATTATCTATGATTAAATTCATTTAATTTGAATGTAAGAAATAGGTGTGGCTCGATCCCATATTGGTCAAAATTTCAGGATCGTACACCGAAACATGTTGTAAACAGGCACACTAATATCATCTCAGTAACTGCAGCCTGCAGTGTGGTGGAAGAGAAAAGAAGCTCGCTAATTTTAGCTTGCTCAATTATTAAATTTCACAACAAAGTAGTGAGCTTATCGGACATAAAAAGGTTGTATGGAGCCATTCCTAGTTAGAAAGCTAACAGCTAATGTCATTCACATAAAGATGTAATTCATGACGACGGTCATAAAGCTTTTTACTATCACTTCCTGTAATGCAGTGAGGCTTTCCTGTTTCTAGAGAAACTTCAGGAAGTGTGCCTTGCAGGAGAAGGAGATAATTAAAATGTTGGTGTCTGCATGGAAGTCAGGAAGTCGGTGTCTATGTGTCTTGGAAGGCTACAGTGAGAGGAAGCCACTGCACTTGTGAAAGATTAAAGAGGCCACAAAGGCACACACTCACAGCGTATACGTGTGGCCGTGTCACCCTGGTCTCAGCTGACAGCAGAAACACAACACTGTTCTGGCTTGCTATCTGACAAGATTGTGCTGTCTGGGTGCAGATAGCTGTGTGGCTGCATGTACTTACCTGTGTTCTCATAGCTGGAATAAAAAAGACACCACCTCTTGGCATTCTCCAGTTATAAATGGCATTTCTTTTATACTTTTAGTCCCCAAAAGGGATGTAAGTCAAAGGGAAATGAGACATTTTGACATTCCCAGTGCCCTGCAGCTTCACTAAGAAACCCTAACAGTGTTAATAGTGATAATGATGTATGCCAGGGGTCTGAAGAGGGAAAAAAAAATAACATCAGAATAATTCAAACTGGTGTCAAGTTATGCCGTTGAGAATTTCCAGCGTGAGTCTGTTTAATTGCTCTTCGGCTTCTGCTGCTCCTGTCAAATTTTAGCAAGTCCAGGAAGCTGAAAGTGAAAATAGTTCACTGCTTCGCCAAACAAGTACCACTGAGAGACTTACATGTCAGCTTCTCCTAAACAGCTAATTTGCCCATCACTGGCATGGTGTGTGTGTTTCTTCAACCAAAGTCAAACAGTTGTTTTTTGCGAGAACGGAACAAGGAAGTGGGTTGGCTCACTCCTAATGGTCAAAGGTTGAATTGCAACTGTGTGTCCCTGGGCGAGAGCCTTCATCCAAAGTGCTCATCATATATAGCCACAAGAAGACTTACTGTAGTGTGTCCTCCACTCTTTGGTCCTAGGTCTGCAGAAATGAGGATGATCTTATCAAGAAATGGCACGAGGCGTTTTAAAATCAAACCCCACGCCAAATCACATGCGCATATTAACCGCTGTGGCGACCCATTTAAAAGGGAACATACATGTTGGCTTTTACAAAAATGATTTTGTAGTGGTGTGTTGTCACCAAACAGCTGTCTGTGTAGCCACCTCAGTGTGTGTCTCACCCGGGGCCATTGTCCTGTTGCGAAAGCAGCGGCGCGATAAAAGAACGATGATTAATTTCTCTCCGAATAACCCTGTGTCGCTGATACGAGTGTAGAAAGCCGTGTGTGTGCATTGGTGTGCAATAGTCTGACCCCAGTGGAGGGCATCCAAAGTATCAAAGCACACCTGCTGACTGCACAGTCTACCGCTCTCTCCTTCTCTCTGTCTCCTTTCTATCTGTCTTTCACACAAACAGTCAGAATTAGAGATGTATCGACGCATCATGACGATTCCCATCGATTGAAATAAAAATGAATCGCAACACGAGGCTGCGTTCTTTCAAAGACACTCAACATACTAGGAGACTGCACACTCTAGAACAGTAGGTGGCGCTAAAAACTGTGCCTAAACACGTTGGTTGTGAAGTGCCATTCAGGTGTTCAAACAGAACGTGGGATAACTTCTTTCACAGACAGACAGTGTTTCTGTAAAGAAAGGAACTCTTTTCCAGTTCATATGTTTATATTCTTTCGTCGTATGGACCGTTAGCAATGAAATAAGTTCTACTTTTACCAAGAGGAGAAAAATGGTGTTACAAATAAGGTGAGGGAGGGCAGCCAAGTATTCCAATAACAAAGAATTAAAAACATAGTGTCTATATGTTGGTGTGACTAAGAACACATGTTAAATCTGTGGTCTCACATTTCCTGTATTACATTAAATTTGTTGTCCTCTGTTCACGACAGCCAGTGACACAACACTTTTCCTGCACATTTACGTTTTTTGCTAAAACACCCAAAAAGCCCATTGTCACTGTCAGAAGTACGACATATAACTTCAGCGATGGCTCTTTGGTTTGTTCGTCAGTATTTAGTTCAATCTGCTGACGAAATTACACAATGAAAGCGTCTGCTATCTTCACCACGAACCTAAATCTTTCCTCTTCTCCTACACTTTTAGTCTCTCTCTGTATAATTTCCTGACATCCATCCGCTCATTCATCACACGCAGCAGTTACACACCAAGCCTGTCCTCCTCACTCAGCCCGGATGTCTTCTTTTAAAATGTATTCTTAACTTATTCTTGCATTTTTTTAAGGGCTATGTTTGAATAATTTCTACCTGCTATCTGTCAAGAAAGTGATTTGTTTCTCCAGCCCTGTGTTTTTCTACCACATGAAGACTTAGACGACACACACCAGGCCTTTGAATCCTCTACTTCTCCTTTATTCACACAAGAAACTCACAGAAGTGTCTAAAAGTGCGGGGCGCCCTGTGGCCCCGGTAGAACTGCTGATGAGTGAAGACTCTGGCACAGCAAGCTTGGGAGAAACAGGAGCAGGGAGCATTCATTGCCCTACAGCTCGGGGCAGAGGGCAGTTGGAGTGGGATTCAGGTCAGCTGGCACAGACAGGGGACTAAAGACTGAAACAGGTGACCGTGGGTCCTCATCCACTCTATTAGCCTGCAGGTTTCTGCTCTCCTCTTATGACTTTTGCACTCTGGAAGTTTCTTTGTCCAAACACAAACTCACTCAGGAAGTGTCAACACTTCAGGGTAAAGAAACTTTGATTAAACCCTGACAAAATCTACTCTATCATGCACTTGGTCAGGAGCAGAGGAACTTATTTTGCCTTAAATTAGCCAACTGTTTTTATTCCAGTAGTTGCAAATAATACTTCGCATCTGTTTCTCTGGCTAATCCTGCTGGGACCGGATTTATTAATTTCACATCTTCTCTCTGTGCTGTCTGCACTCTTTCAATTTGAAGCCATAAAAATAAAAAAAGAGAGGGCGTCCTGAGGGCATCTGGCTTTTTTATGTATCCATTTGTCCAGTTTCCTACTTTCTGGAACTGATTAGCAAAAGGCTGAGGATAAAAGATAAAAGAGTCCGTGGCCCCGACAGCAGTGTCTACATGTTTTAAAGGGTGCTTATTAAATATACTTCTATAACTGCTCCCAGAAGGATGATTAGACCAAGAAAACCTATAAAGTGTCCTCCTTTTGATGTCATTGACAGTCATTAAAAGGCTGGGTTTTTTTTTTTTTTTAAGCGATGAGTTTACCGTCTCAGAGCCAGACAAGGTTGTTGTTTTTTTTTTGTTTTTTTTTTATCTTGCACCGCAGTGCATCTGTCTGATTAGTGCAGTAAATATTAATTGCAGCTATTTGCATTCAAATGATCCTTCAATCAATTAGTTTCGCAACACAGTATTAATGGGGAATAAATCAGAGCTGAAATGAGACTGTATTATTGTAATCAGGGATGATTTTCAAGGCAGTGCTTGGAGAGGAGTCTGCAAACTAAATTTTTAACATAACAAAATCACCTGGGTTCTAACAGCTTCTTCTTGTTCTTCTTCTTCTGGGCAGAGAAAGTAGGATCCAAAAATATAGCGTCTGGACCATGACTTCTGCACCTTAAATGCTCAAAAATCCTTAGTGCAATCCAACATATACTGTTCCTGATCAGAATCAACACAGTTAAAAACAACCATACAACATTTGGCTCACAGTTTGTGATCATTTAAAGTCCCGGTACGAGGATGTAACCCCAAACCAGAGTTTGGACATCTGCTCAAGATGTTGTATTTCTAGGTGGTACAACTTGCCTAAGGACGGTCCAAATGACTTCTTCTGTTGTATATTTCTCGCCACAAAGTTTGAAGAGGGTTGGTAGTTTATCAGTGTTTTTTTTTTATTTTCTATTTGTGCAGGTCTGCAGCCCACACTTTGACCTTGGAGTCAGAGTGTAGACGCACCCCCACACAACTACCCTTCCACCACAAAACCCACAGTCTTTGCAGTCCTCCTGGGATGCACCTTATTACTAAATCAACAGAGAAATTTCCAAAGACACTCTCCGTCTTAGTCTGACTGTAACCTCACCGTAACCTTTGGAGAGTCATTGAATTCCACAGGTGTGCACAGGAATGCAGCTACACATGCACACTGACAGAATTATTATAAGGAAGTCTATACAGGATGTGAACACAACATTTCAAATTCACCTGACATTCCCTCCACTCTGACCCTCCTCCTGCGAGTCTCTGGGCTGTATAACGATGCCAGACTGCTTCCTCACTGTTGTTGCAAAGAAAGGGGCCATATCTCACCCTGTGACTGATGCTGCTTCTAATCATCACTTCACTGTTTGTTGTGTTTAACTTGTGACAGTCTGATGTGTTTTACGGTGTACTTGTCAGAAGTGGCTGCCACGGAGTTAGATTTAAAGAGCTGAACATAATCAGTGTTAACGAGCACGGGCAGAAGAGCGCACAAGATATATAACATGTGTTTGCTAATGAATAGAAGAAAGATAATTAGGAGAAAATGTCTGGTTGTAATTCTGCAAATGTTCCGTCGGCACGAGCGAAGAGCAGAAGAAAATGTTCTAAGACACCAGCGTATGTGTATGATTAGGACAAAGAAGTTGTGGTATTCAGAGATGGTCTTAGATTGTTCTAGCCTTTGTCCGTCTAAGTCGTGGGTTATTCTAGTGCCACATTGTTCTAGCCTTTGTCCGTCTAAGTCATATTCTTACTCCGTCCTCTTCCAGATTCTTGTGAACTCTGTGACTCAGCCTGCCCTGCTCTACGAGAACGTGGTGGTGAGCGATGGTGATCCCATCCACAGAGACCTTCTCTTCAGCCCAGATCATCAGCACTTGTATGCTCTCACTGATAATCAGGTAAGAAAGACATGGACAAAAAAACAAAACATGAATGATACAGGGTTGACTTCCTGAATGACGTTCCTCAACTTGATTTTCTCCGTAAATTTACTCACCTATGCTAACAGTGGTAACATCATAATAAAAAAAAAACAGCAAAAATGAAAGAAAGAGGATGTAGAGCAATCTAGTGTATGGAGTACAAAAGGTAAATCGTCTTTGAATAGATGGGTTGGTCTGCACGTTCCATATGAACACCTTTTGATTGGCCCTTATTTTGAGTGCAATTGCGAGAAAATGCAAACATGAATATTTGCAATTAATGTATCAAGCTCCTCGATGATCCAATTTGTCCAATTAGAGATAGAAGAATAGATCCTGCCGTGAACGTGTTGTTTTCTCCGACTGCTTCTGTTGGATGGTTCAATGTCACAGTTTGTCTAAAACTGCTCTTCTACTGACTCCAATCTCTTCCCATTACCTGCACTGTTCTCTCTTATCTCTTCAAGTGTAATTACCAGGCTGTGATAACCTTAGTGAGACTCCAGTGTATATAGACAGTCTCTGCCATGTGTAATTTTCCAGCAATTAGATATAATTGACTTCCATGCGTCCGAATGAGTGTGAAGAGGAACTGGAGTGTAATTGATACAAATGGACACCGTGTTTGATGAAAGACCAGGGAAACTGTAGATCATCGATACCACTGAATATCTGTCAGCCAGTAGGAGTACACCCACACAAACACATACAGAGGAGTACTCTTCAGGAGATGGGTTAATAGTTACTTTAATTAGGAGTAAAAGTTGTGGAATTTTATTTTTTAAGAAAATTCAAAATTGATTTTTTTTCAGGCACCAGTGCTTACAGAGAGTTCTGGTTACATTTCTAACCTTGACTAGTCAGACTTCTAACCAGACAATTCAAACACAAGTTACAAAAACATATTGTCATCAATGGCAGGTGTCAAAACTGTCTCCTGAAATTCAGCAAAATGCTTTAATTGCTTCCTACTGCCTAAACTGACCCCTGATATGACTGAAGGATTTTTAAAACTATATTTTGGTTGATATTCTGGACATAAAGTACCTTGATGTGTCACAATAAACAACAAAAACAAAGTCCTAATATTAATACTACTAGTACTAATATTTTTTTATTTTCTCTCAATTCCGTTTCTGGTCTCCTAGTCATAGCTCTTCTAAGTAGTGATAGGAGTATCGATACTGCGGTTTTGATATGTCGATACTCACATAAGTATCGACGGAATTTGTCCACTTAATAGAAGTCTGCGCTTCTCGGCTAATGGCTAACACCATACTGTATATGCTCTCAGTCAATGGTCTCATGGGGGGAAACAATGTACTTAAATAGTGAACACAGGCATAGAAATCGATGCATTAATTAAATGGAGGGAAGTGCTCTATGTCCGGTTCTGTAGAACTCTTTAATGTGAAATATGATCACTCAGTGTGTGACTCTGTCTCTTTAGGATAGTCCTTCAAACTTCACATGTTAAAACCCACCAGAACCAAAGTTTTAAGGGAGAGTTCATGTAAGACGACTATAATGTGATAAAGATGTAGTTACTAAAGCTGATGATTCTGTTCACGCTCTGGCCTTGCGTCCCATTAGCATTTCTGTCCTTTTTTTAGCAGTGCTGAGAAAGTCGGAACCAAGCTCCTGCTGAGATTGCTTTGCAGACTTTACCTTTCCGAGTCCTGTCAACTGCATTATAAATAACTCCTGTTGCCTCCAAAGAGTCTCTTTCAATCTTTTAAAGCCTTCAGACTTAATTTTTGATGAGCAATGACATGTCTGCGCATGTAACTGCTGCTGTGACGGGAGACATTTTGACAGTAAGACGTCTGAGTCTGAGAAGACCACAGAGCTGCTCTGCATATAATAGAGTGAGATCAGCACACGTTTAATTTGGACTCAGTCATTTTTTTATTTCACCCAAAATATAATTTTAATAAGAAATTGAGAGTTTCGCAAATACATCTTTTTAACATTCTAGTGTTAAATAAAGCAATTTGTAAAACTACGAATTGCAAATCAGATAAGAAAGAGGTTGCAGCTAATAGAAGTTGATGTAACAGCACAACTGTATACTTGTATTAAAGAACCATTTTTTTGCCTAAGATCTGAGTGGATCTACAAAGTTATCCTTCAACAAAGCGTACAGACACTCACACAGTGACCGACCAAAACTTTGAAACTGCGTGTAGAGGATGAGATGAGAAGAAAGTGGTGGTGAGGGTTGACAAGGTGGAGAAATCTAATTGCTTTGCAAGATGTGCTCTCTTCACTTTTTACCGAGTCTTCCTGCATCATCTCCTTTAATATTCTTAGTGGTCCTCTCTGCAGCCTCTCTCAGATGGAGTGAGTTTGTGCAGTAAGTGCTCTCCCTGTAGTGGCTTCAGACGGCATAGAATAGGCCGAGGGTCTTCCCTCTGCTGCTGGATGTGAACTTGTGTCCCAGACAATATAAGACCAGAGGGTGTGGAGAGTCTTCTCTGCCTACTGATGAGAAGCCTCTTCCTAGCCAGAGGTGGTTTGGACTTTGGGCAACGTATGGTGGTCTGAGGTCACATCCAATTTTACACAAATATATGCTGTTTTTAGGGGGAAAAAATCTTAAGTTTTAAAGTTAACGAAAGTTGATGGAGGCAAGTATTAAAAAAAAAAGACAAACTTGTGAAAGAGCAAAGGTACAGAGTAAGAAGTAAAACTTTGTCGTTGTTTGATAGTAATGGAGATCGCTGTAAGACAGAGAGAGTTATTCAAATGTACTGTCAGTTAGACAGTGTCTTATTCCTCAGAAGCTGGACTTCACCCAGCAGTGGGCTGATATAACAGCTGGGTTTCTGCATGTTTGGATGATTGTTTGAAAGGCTGGAGAGATTTTTATCGGTGAATGAGGAGCTTGCTACTGATGTTTAGAAACAAAACACTTGTTGTGTAGATCTTGTTTGTTTTGTTTCCAGAGTCCAGCCCCCAAAAGTGACCCATTTTCCCGGACCTGGACAACTTATGAGATTAGGAAAACCTAGTGCACGGTCCCTCGTTCTAAATGGTACCTGAAATCATGTCAAATCTTTCTAGTTGTTATGACAGGCGCCGTAGAAGTGAGCTGCACCTCTGCCCAGTTCGTCCTCCTCATCTTCATCCCTCTCTCCACGTTGAATCATAAAAATGCCAAGTGACGGCAGCTCAAACATCAAAAGGCCCATTTCTCAGGCTGACAGAGCAATTTAACTTTTCCTATAGATACTGGCACACATAATTAAAGTTGAATGGGACTGCGGCCTATAGACTCCATATCTGTGTGCTACAGTGCCGCATGTGTAAGTATCTGCAAAAACACACATATCCATCCTATATACAGATACTGGCTAACTACCAAAAAATAATTTGAATTTCCAGAGCTTTAGCAACAGAACTTAAAGTTACTATAAAAACTGGAAGGTAAAGCGCTGTGAAGTAATACGTGGAAAAAATAGTTTCATTTTAGACCGAGGTAATCAGAGGTCTGCAACCTGTGGCTCCTGATCCACATGTAGCTCTTCAGCCTTTTTGCATTCATTCATTCATCACTCACACTCCTCTAATTTGTTGAGCACATTTTGCCCTTTGATCTGTTATATGCCTTGGCATCACAGCCACTTTTTTGCTGTGTAACTCTAAGGGCAAGGTCAAAACCCTTCCCATTTGTAAAAGAAGGGTGTAAGGTGAACCCCGTGGCTGGTTGAGGCAGTCAGACAGTGGCATCACGGGCTGATGATGTGCCTTCTCCTATTGATTTAGCTACGATGCAGAAATATACTAAAGAGTTTTTTTGAGAAACCTTACCCTTGGCACACATCAGTGAAGGTTCATGTTCATTTTACTCAGCATTTACTGCACCTGGAACTTTGGAGGAAAGAACAGACTTGCGTACAGTGACCAGCGTCTTTGATGGTGTCGAAAGTGTAGACGAGGAGGGGAGAATAATGAGGACCGGGCCAGATAGGTGTTGAAAACCAGTTTAAGGAAAACATATTGTGTTTTCTTTTACTTAAGACACACCCGTGTCATATTTGTCAAAAGCTAACAAGTTTTTGCGTTATTTTATCCTATACATGATAAATCATAACTCCACTACAGCCAGTTATGTTTGCCCTTTGCTTATTTAGACAAGGCAACACACTTAACACCAACACACATCTTCCTCTGCTGTCAGTCTGTCAAGGCAGAGCGATGAGCAAACGGCTGATCAGGAAGTGATTTGTGAGACAACCGAAGACACAGACGGCGAGAGGAGGAGACGGAAATGTCTACATTACCATGTGTATGTGTTAGGGAGGGAATAACCTGAGTTTTAGTTACAGCGTTAGAGAACTTAAGATACATTAGTAAATAAATCTCCCATCAGCTCTGAATTAACCTTTAGGTGTGAATGGCATTTTCCTCTTGCTAATAATCTTTCACAGCAGTTTGAGCTTTATGGCTTATATTCTATTCTTAGCTCACTGTGCAACTGAGGGGTGTCATACAAATTTGTTCTTAGACCTAAAAGTTGGAGTGTGGTTATTGTCAAGTCAACCTTTGATCAGACCTGATTAGACTGGACTAAAGAAAATATTTGGACATTTTTGGAAAGTCATTCACCAAGCAGTGATACCTTCACTGCTTGGTGAAGGTAGGGTTGGATTGCAGCAAACTTGATACAAAAGAATCTATTGTCACTTTGCTCGATTAGTGTTGTTGGGTAATGCTTGTAGGTAATGTTTGAAGGCTAAATGGCTGGTATTCATGATCAAAATATAACACAAATATTAGTAGTTTTGTCATAGCTGCACTGTTTACTCTTCAGCAGTGGTTCTTGACCTGGCTTCGATCGAACCCGAGGGGTTCGATGAGTCAGTGTCAGGGGTTCAGCGGAGGACAAGTACCTCCAACAAGGTTAGGAACTGGTGTGAACCAGTCCTCTCTTTGTGCAGTTGACAGCTGAAAATATCTATTTATTTCGGACT